AATTATGTTATTCAGGTTTATTATATTCTTGAGTCCAAGATGATCAGAAATGGCAGGTTAGCAGAGAGTTTAAGGAGCTTACTACAAGTAAGCATGCTGACAGTTGCAGGGAAAGATAACAGCTGGAAAATGAGGGGTAGAAATGAAATTATAAAAAGGACAGATGAAAGTGATAGGTCTCACCTCCCTCTCCCCCTCCCCAGCTGCCTGAGCCTGGAGAACAATGCCCACTCCGCCAGGATACCCACACCAACCCCAGCTGCTAGGTCACAGCGCACCTGCAACACAATGTTGGCTGTTGCTATGAGCCTGCTCCCCAATGTCATGCCCCACTTCTCCTCATTTCACCTATGCCCATCCTACTAACCCCTTTAACTCTATCCATAGAATAGCCACCTCAATAAGTCAGACTCAGACTCATCTTTGGAGTCACTTTAGCAGGTCCAGCCCAGGACCTCACGTGCATGCTGGCTGTGCTCTTTACTGAGTCATCACCATTTACCTAACATCTGATGCCTCACGCCCAGGAGGTGGCAGGTACAGCCCCTGCTCCCACATGTGGGTCCCCCACCTCAACCCCTTCCAGGGCATAAAACTGATGGTGTCATTGCCTCCAGCCTACCAGAAACTTCTTTCCAGCATCTCCTCTGCCTAACGTGCACCGCTCAAGACTCTGGGGTAAGTCCTTCCGGAGGAGTGGTTGAATGTATCAGTCCCTCCAGTTGAACAATCATGTCCTAATTAGGCCTGACCTCCAGCTTCAGCCTGGACACAACAGACCAACCTGGGCACAGTTGGTCTGTGAGCCCTTCATTCCAGTTTCTCATCTTCATCCGGTAGATGCTCCTTTTGATCCTGATTGCCCTTCTTCCTGTTGGACACTCTTGCCCCTAAGCCCCCATGGGAGGAACTGCCTCTGCCTCTCCAGGTGCCTCCTCAGTAACCATCTCATCTCTTTCTGTAACGTGGCCAGGCCATATCACAAGCTACCATAGGTAATGACTCTCTTTGACCAGAACACAGCCTGTTCAATTGCAGAGGCTCTCCTACCTTGGCCACTTTCTCCAGAGTTCAGACAAATGGGAAGAGGTCCCCTAGGATCAGCCCTTTTCACCTCCATCCTGTCCCTCCCTCTAATCATTCTGCTCCACCTCACACTAGATAATGGCTCATGATACCGCTCCATGCCAGCCTTTGGCCCCAGACTCTCCTTCACACAAAAACTTCAATCCCATAAGCAAACTTTTTCCTCTGTGCCCTTTGCCACCCACAACTCAGTCTTCCTCCCAACTGACCACCCCTATTGATCACACAGAGCCCCCAACCCAAAACTCCTGTGCCATTTGCAAAAGGTTGGGGCACCCATGCCTTACCCATGTTCACACCCCATTCTCCGTTTCTACTCTTTCCCAACTAAAGCTTGTCTCTGTTCCTCCTCATTAAGGCCCTAACATTACACTAAAAAATTCACTGACCTCACCTGACACAATATTCATATTGTTCTCACAATCATGCTTCACCCAGTGAGGGAAAAAACCCAAGTTGGGATGATGCCTACGGGTACAGCTAATGAGGCCCATACCCAAGATGTTCACAGACTTTGGGACAGTTACTGTTCCTAGATAGGATTTGAGATGGAGTCACAAACATAGTTCCAGAGATTGGGAAAAATGCCATTCTCACAGAGCTAGACAGGGCTTCCATTAAGTCCGTCCACTTTGATAAAGAACAAAACATCTATCAACACCCCTAAGACAGCCTAACCCAATCTATGACCTGGGTCACAGAGGCTCTAAAGGCCTACACTTGCTTAGAGCCATACTCAGCCAAGGAACAACTTTTTCTCAAGGCTTATTTCACTTCCTAGGCAACCCCTGACGTTAAGGCAAATTTCAAACAATTCAACCCTCAAACCCGTGTGGCCAATCTTGTGACCACTGTTCTCAGAATCTACCAAAACTGAGAACTTGACAGCCGTTCAATAAACCTGTCCTTCAGGTTTGTACAACACTCCAGCCAAGCAATCACCCAAGTAGAAGTCTAAATCCCCCGGGCCTTGCTTTTGATGCAGCAGAATAGGGCTAGGCAAAGCAATGGCCAAATCCACACTTTCCACACCTTCCAATCCTGTTCACTGTGTGGCTTACCTGGTCTCTTAACCAAAGACTGACAGAGCCCATAGTTCATGTGCCCATCACACACAAGAGCCCAGCATAACTCTTCTGGTCAAGGGTGAGTTTATTTCACTTCTCCTCACATGGGGGCCACTTATATTCCTCTTTGTCAACATTCTTGGGACCTACAGTTAAATCTTCAATGTTGTCAGTGGGAGTTGACAGCCAGGCTTTTCATCCCTAAGAGAGCACCCTTAAATGGCTCTGTCATCACCCTGGTGATTCTCTAGGGCCCCGCCCCTCTCCTCAGATGGGACCTCTTTCTCAAGCTCTGGGCAACAGTCACCTCCAATCCTCCTTTGCTCTCCACACATGCTACCTTCTCTTCCCTCCTTCCTCCAAACCCTCACCTCCACCCCAATTCTCAAAACTGTTTCACCTTCACTGAGACTGACTTTGCCTCAGGCTATTCCTCTCAGCTCACCTGGACAGTCTTCCCTCAAGACTTTAGGGACAGTCCCCACTTACCCTGTCAGGCTCTCAGCCACAATCTCACCTGGACTGTACCTCTCAACAATATATCTTAATCTGCAGCCCTTCTCCTCAAGACTGTCACTCAGACATCTCTCATTCTTTGGCCTAGCTGATTTACTCTGCCTCTGGGTTCCCAACTTTGGCCTCATAGCCAGAACCTTTTATAGTGGCTACAAAAACATATCCATATCCTCAAACCCTCCTTGACTTATAGCTACCTCCAAACCACCCACCATGATCTCAACCACTTTCCCAGTATACATAAAGCCCCATCCTGCAGGCAGCAGTTATCTGGTTCACAGATAAATGCTCTTGTCAAACTCTAATACATATCAAGTACTCTGACTCCAGAGACATAAAGGAAACTCAACCCTCCCCCACCCCGCAAAAAAAAAAAAGACCTCGCAGCAGACAACACTCAGAGCCCTAATCCCAACACTTGTCCTGTCTTCCTCCAGGTTTTCTCACTTTCACTCAAACTCCAAAAGACTCAACACCTCACTCTACTGCTTCCCTTGTTCCCAGATCTCAGCTATTACATTCCCCATCCCTGACCAGACTCATCAGTGTGTCTATAGACCTTCCTCCATATATAGGTTCTCCCTAAACAACTTATAGTCTTGAGTCCTTTTTAAGCTTAAGTATGGTCATCCTTTCTTATGGGCCCCATTCCCCCACTCATTCCCAAAGAATGACTACCTAAGTCACCTAAGGCCATGCAAGCCCTCCACAAGCACTTGTTGCTGACTCTCCTTCCACAGCCTTCACACTCAAGACCCCCAGCTCTAACTATGAAGTTTCAGCTCCCAAAATTTTAATTTGTAATAATTGTGTCTTGTTCTCTAATTATTTTTTCATAAAACTATATTCAGATTACAGCAGTAGTGCATCCACAAATAAGCATAGGGAAACATTAAAAGAATGAGAATTAGAATGACATTAGATTTCATGGCAGCAGAGCCAGTTCAGTGCACACATTTCAGATGTATAATTGTTCATTCTAAGTGTGTCCCAAGTATTCCCTGTGACATAATTATACTAACAAGTATCTGCAGTTATTCTGATTTAAATTTAATTGAGTGTGCCCTGTTTATCAGGGACTTCTACAGAAACACTGAAAATAACTCTCCAGTATGAACATGCAAGAGACTGACTTACTTTTTCCCTCCTCCAACAACTACAAAAAAAAAAAAAAAGAGAGAAATAAAACCAGAATAACAACAAAATATCCTACCTTGCTGTTTTTAGCAAAATAAATGACACTCTTCAAAATCCAAACACTTTTAAAAGCTGCTTAAAGAAGTGAAATCGGACAGAAAGTGCAAGGAGAATACAAGGTATTGCAGCAGTGGTAGATCTCAGGAAGCATAAGCAAAAGTGTGGATTCTTTGGAGGAAACACTTACTTAGGAAATGTTAAACCTGTAACTCACAACTCAAATAGCCAAGTGAGTACAAGGCTGCTGCAGGCTGAGCATTAGCAGATTTTCACTGGTACTTGTGCTGCTCTGGGTTTGTATTGAGAATGTCCTTCCCATTCAGAGAATAGAAATATGGAAAATTGAATACATATGAAACATAACACGGAATAGCTTTGAAATAGGGGCGCACAACTTTTTCCATTTACTCGCTGTCACCATATCACTTATTGAACAAACCTTCTTTTCCAATATAGTAAAGGCTTGATTTTTGTCTTTTTGAGGCAGGGTCTCACTATGCAGTTCAGGCTGGCTGTCAACTCACTACGTAGCCCAGGCTGGCCTCGAACTCACAGCAATCCTCCTGCCTCAGCCTCCAAATGCTGGGATTACAGGCATGCACAGCCTTGCCCAACTAAAGGCTTTATTTTACTCATATTCTAAAGTCTTATATATGTAAACACATAATATATGTACTACATATGTATCACAGGCTTCTGGGACTCCACTAAGTTTCATCGGTGTTCTTATTTTGGAACTCACAATCATATACAAAAATACATGCATTCTGTTACCTATCCAGGTATCAACATATTTCAAAATATTTTAGGGAAAGATTATACCACTCCTATCTGAATACTACAGTTAGGTTTAACAAAGGTAATTTACCTTTGCTAGGCAATACTTGTATTACCAAGTAGTTTTTCTTAAGAGGAATGAGCATACCTTTTAATAAGTGTATCCTTTTTTCAACAAAAACATTAAATGTATTTACCTTCCTGGATATTATCTATATGTCATGCCGTACAGGGCTCTTTCAAGACAAATAGTCCAGAACTACGTAGTCAAACTATAATGGTAATGCCTCTGTGTGTGGGTGAAGAAGCTGTCTTTGAGTTTTGTACATTAGTAAAGGAAGTAGAAAATATCTTTTCTCCTTTTCAATGAAATTTATTTATGTGTAATTATAAGTAGCAAATATTACATAATTTATGTTCTTAGGAGCATTTATTTTGTAGGGCCACACTGCCATCAAGCAACAGTCACAGAATGTTCCCTGGGTCCACAGTACTGCACTTTGTAACGATGTAACATCTTCCCTTCCAAGTTTAAACATGGCCTTGTGCACTGAACAACAGCTTTGCCTTGTACAATGGTCAGCTGTGACAAGTAACATCAAGGGGGAAGCCTTTGGATGGCATTTTATCTTTTGGTGACTAACAAAATGACATTTTTGGTGCGATTAGCAGACCTATGTTGATTATTTTCAATTCATTTTTCTTCTGCTACAATGAAAATAAACCAGTTAAAACTAAGCAGTGTAGCAACATAACTGACCAAATGCATGTTATATATCATATAATAGGATGTTTTAGGTGATATTGATGGTTTACATTCCACATCTTTATTTGTATTGGGTAACAAATTAAGAGTATATCTGCTAAACAAACAAAGAGCTCATTCTGAGAATTTATACATTGTTTTAACACAAAAAATGTGTTTTTCAAGAGTATGGTAGAGTACTCATGATTGAAAAGGTTTTGCTGCTCTCATTTTTTGTATTATTTATTTTTAGATAATAGAGTCATCTTGTAAGTTTGCTGGTAAAACATGGTTACTTGGTTAGACATGATTATCAGAGTTTAGGTGCAGCATGCTGCTCTCATATTCGTGAGCAATGATTATTTATCTGTTTACTTTTCTAAGTGTGCTTATGCTAAAGATCCAAAAGCTAAGATGGGGGTTCACTGGTAATAATAAATACAGTGTTTGGCTTGGACAGTGATCTATGGAGTGGAAGATTTTGCTGCTACGATGAGAGCTCCGCCTAGCCTGTTAAATATACAAGTATTTGGGGAAAGGAAAATGCATATTTCCAAATAAACCATCCTGCATGCTTATTTGATGGTACAAAGTCCTTGGCTTGATGCACCGCTAGTATTTAGGGTGGAATCTACATGCAACTTCTTCAGCAAGCATGTTGTGCCATCGGGAGAGCCCAGGGATGGAACGCATGTCTCACAGCCTGTGGCTGCCCATGTCTCTGTGCTCCCTGCCAGGGAGGGCACAGGCTTGCCAGTCCAATCCACTGTGAAACTTAGAGTGGAAGTCCTTTGTTTCAGATACCTGTAATAAGCAAATTAAAAAAAAATTTAAAAAGAGGGCAAATGTATGTTAAAAGTTTTATAGTATTTTTTAACAGTTGAGTTATTTATTTTTATATCTATTATAGGTTTGTTCTTAAGAATATAAATTGTTGATAAGAACCATTACTGCTGAGATGACTTAGGGACTATTTTATGATGTATTCAGAGGATTCTAGCGTAGAAACCAGTTAAAGTGTTTTTATCTGACATAATTTCCTTTTTCATTTTATGGTACTGCTGACTGAAGCCAGGTCTTGCCCATGTTAGCAAGCACTCTCCACAGAACACCTCTTCAGCCCTGAAGTGACTTCTTAAAAGCTTTTTATGAGATCAATTTAAAAACACACAAAGTACAACTAACACCCACACATACCATTTAACTGTTTTAAATATAATTAGCAATTCTATCATTCTTCAGTTATGCTTAGTGATTGCTTCCCAAGTATCTGCCAGTTTCCCAGATTTGCTTCATCTCATTTAAAACACAGAAGAATCAATCTTGTTTAAACTGAGGTTCAGAGAAGTCAGTGACTTGCAAAGTTCACACAGTTATTGAAAGCTGGAGCAGCCTTCTAACCAGACTTTCTGTCCTAAAGCATTAGTTGTGGTAGTTAATTTGCTGTGTCAACTAAGGTACCCAATTCTTTGGTCAAATGCCAGACTACATGTTTCTTTGAAGATATTTTTAGAGGAGATTATCACTTCAGAAAATCAGTACTCTGCATAAAGCATATTTCCTTTTATAATGTGTAATGTGGATGGGGCCTTTTCCAAGCTGCTGAAGGCCTTGAAAGACAAAGACTGAGGTCCCTGAGCAAGAATGAATTTTACTTCCAGATTGTCTTCAGACTTAAGACTACAACATCAACCCTCCCCCCACCCCCCAGGTCTCCAGCTTGCCAGCCTACCCTGCATTTTTAGATTTACCAGCTCGCACAATTGCTTAAGCCAATTGCTTAAAATAACCTCCTCCCTCTGTTTTGTTGAAGGACCATGTGCTACAGTATGGATATAGTTTGTCCCAAAGTTTCAAGTGTTGGAGACCTTGTCCTCAGTGTGGTAGTGCTGAGGCAGTGGACTTTAGAGGTGGGGCTTAATGGAAGGAGGTTGGGTCACTGGGGGCACTGACCTTGGAATGGATTCTGAGGAGTTTTCACAGGACCCTTGTTAGTTCCTGCCAGAGTGGGTTATTAAAGGACACTGTGGCCCTGAATCTCTACGGCTTCCTGTCTGTCTTTTCCAGTACCGTCTTCTGTATAAGCTCTTGGGACCCTCACCTGAATAAATGCAGTTACCTTAAATATGGCAGCAGTCCAACTGATGGTGTTGTATCTAATTAATTTACCAAGCATAAATGGTTCATGTGACCCTGTCTTTTCCAGTACTATATTTTCCCCAGTCTTTTGGACATAATTTGAATTTAGTTATATTTCCAAGGAAATATATTTATCAATTTAAACAAGATTTCCATTCTGATATTAATCTTCACTTTTTATTCAAAATGTATGCATTTCTAATGTATGCAACTTGGCAGTACAAAGCTAGGCTCAGGCCCAGAGACACAAGACTATATTGTGTTCAAAGTGAAAGGTTTGTGCTTTGTTCCAATTTTAACCAAGATTCAGGTAGTTTAATAACACTACTGATTTCAAATAGAAGCAAAACTGATATAAAAATCTTTTAATGATCATTTCTTCAACATCCTGCCAGCTGATATGTGACAGAGATGTGTTTTGTACCTGTCATCGGTGGCCTACGATACTAAAATGGCAGGTCTTAGCTTGTTAAAGTACTTTATGGAGTTCTGAAATATAATACTGTGTTCTAAAATGTAGATGTCTGACCTGGAGGTCTAGTTATGGAACATTCAGAAGGAAACTTGGTCATTATACACTATGACAGCTGGTTAGCCTCATGTCAAAATGAGAAATATTTAAGCAATCATCTAACAATTAGGAAGTTATGACTTTCATAACATTGTGAAATTTATAATCCCTGGGGGATAAAAAGGATACAAATATCCTTATCTTCTACACTCTTGGTTTCTTTTTTTCTGGTACCAGGGTTCAAACTCACAACCTTGAGCTTGCCAGGCAAGCGCTGTGCCCCTGAGCTAAATCTCCAGCCCCTCTTCTACAACTCTTTAAGTCAATCCACCAGGATGTGTGAGCCAAGAGAAAGATTCCACTGCCCTGATTCTATTTTTTTAAGGAAAAGATGCTACTGTTATTGTCATCAGAGCTGCCTTCCTTGTGCAGAAAATTTGACAAGGGCGCCATCTGGAGGAAGGGCCAACCGCAGTTCTAGGTGGAGAAGGCAAGATGCTTTCCTGCACACAGTTCTATCCCACTGAGAACAGTCAGCGGGAAAGGCGGACAAGCAATACAGTGTCTGAGGTGGTTAATCAGGGAGAGAACAGGCAAAAAGAAGCCCGAGATACAAGAAAATGGAGGACTTTTAAACACATGGACTGCACTATCATGTGCTACCTATATACTTCTAAGAATCAATGAAAATATTAGTAACACAATTATACATTTTGCACATGTTCTCCATCAAAATAATGGAAAATAGATTAGCCAGCTTTCCATTACTGTAACAAGTATCTCAGAAGCTCACCTGATGAAAAGAGAAGTTTTATTGTGCCTCACAGCTTGGGGGTTTTGGTCTCTGATCACGGGCCCTGCTGTTGTACAGCGGGGAGGCAGCACAGCCGGGTGGGGAGCAGGTGGGGAGCAGAGCTGCTCACCTCATGGCACTGTGACACAGAGGAAGCAAGGAAGTCCTCTGACCTCAGAGCAGAGGACTTCCCTCCAGGCCCTACCCTTGGCATTGCCACTACCTTCCAACAGACTGAGCTTAGAATCGAGCCTCAACCTCCAGGCCTTTTAGGGACAGTTCAGATTCAAACTAAAGCAGAGAGACCAGAAGCGTAGCCCTGGTGGACCATCCTGAACTTTGTGCAGCGAAAGCAGATAAGATTCCACTGTATAGATTTGTTCCAGATAAGGCTCAGTTATTGGTAAAAAATCCTCATTAAACTACAGCTGATTTCCCGACCTACAGACAGTGAGAGGCACATGGGGGCGGTGGAGGCCGCTGCGTCCTTGCGGGAGTGTCTGCAGCACCTCTACCCCCCATATAGTATTGGGGTGTGCAGAGCCCTCACAGGGTCCGTGCTTGCAGTTCTGCAGGAACACTTGCTAAACTGCGCCTGCTCAGCTCCTTTTTACTGTCACTCGCAAATTAATACTTTTTTGTGAATGATGGCTCAGTGAAATAATTCGGGAAGCAGAGTGGTACATAGTACACTGCCTTCTTAGAGGTTTCTGGTGCACATAGGCAACTTAAAAGAATATCAAAATATCTGAGAGCTTCTGGGAAAGGGAAACCTTTGCAACAGAACCCAGCATTTGCCAAGTGTAAATTCCCTTTGTAGTCCACCTCGTCATCCCCAGGGAGACACGCCTGTCACAGGTCACCAGGAGTCTCTACGGAGCATTTGCAGAATGTTATTTCCCAGATATAAGCAGCATAACACCTTCCTGACATATTGAAAGGACTGTGAGGATTTAAAAGACTTACCAAAAGGATCTATTTAATATCCTGAGAGTTAAGATTTTTGCTTACATTTGGCTTCTTGGTACAGTTGTTTAGTTTTTGCCCTATCATTCTCCTAATGGAAACATCATCTGTACTGGGAAATAACTGTTTTGTTACTCCTGTAAAAGACAACAATAATATACAATAGCTTTATGAGACTTTTCTATCTTATGAACTGAGGTCATACATCAAACATCCTACATTGTAATTTCATCTCTGCATTACAGAAATAGCACTCTCATGAGATAAATGGGTGAATATATGGGCAGGTTTTTCAAAACAAAGCAAAAAACATAAAAAGGTCTATTTTATAAATGAAGAACATACATATTTGTTTTCCTATAGTACCATTTAAATTTTGTGCTACAATTTGCTTTGAACTCTACATATCTTTGCTCCAAAATGTTAGGGATTTATTTTTATCCATGCCTAGTACCAATTAAAACAACTAGATTCCAACTGGTCTTTTTCTAACCAAGAAATGAGATATATTGAGCTGAGAATCAGTGAATCTCTAAATTTCTTGGATGTTTGCAAATCACATTAATTGGGTAACTTAGATGATCAAATTTAAGGAGATGCATTAATTTTAAAATCACAAATGGAATAGTCAAATTAACATCTATCTTTCTAGAATAAAAGATGAGACATAACTAACATAGGGAGAACAAGATACAAATTGTTACTGAAATTTTCTTTTTTTTTTTGGTTTTTCTCTGGTACCGGGAACCTAACTCACGACCTTGCGCTTGCCAGGTAGGCGCTTTTGCCGCTGAGCTAAATCCCCAGCCCTTTTTTTTTTTGTTTTTCTCCGGTACCAGGAACCGAACTCACAACCTTGCGCTTGCCAGGCAGGCGCTTTGCCGCTGAGCTAAATCCCCAGCCCCTGTTACTGAAATTTTCTAAAGAATATTTTGAAACTTTTTCTAAAGCTATGAGTTTTATTCAGTCAAACTTTTCAGTTACATGAACTTCAGTCCTATTTAATAACCATTTTAATGAAAAGTTTTTCCATAAAATTTTCCATATTTAACAAGAATATGAAACTATTCTAAAGTTTTTATTTCAAGGAAGAATAATTTTTACAAAGACCCTGACAGAATCAATTGACCTTGGATGGTGACATAAGTTCAAATTCATGTGGCAATATGGTGCAATCATATCATCACCTATGATCTCTTGAACTTCATTCTGATTCATAGCTGGCTTTACGGCCTTGTCCCTTGAAGTGGAGGATTTTGCCCCGGTCAGGCTGTGTGTGGCCATGTATTCATTTGTGTAAAGCACTTGCATTAAATCATTAATAAACTTCTGAGGCTTGTTCTTATTACAACGGGCAATCTGCCATTTTTCAATCTTGAACTAAAAAATAAGAAATGATAATTGAAATTAGAAAACAAAAAATGATTATCTGGAGAAATGTATTACTTACTGAGTTAAAACATAGCAGAGAAAAACATCCATCTTCTTTAAGGGGGGTACTTTATACTTTTAATATACATTTTACATTTTAGGGGTTAAATGTTTTTGAAATAATTCTCAGTGTTTGTGAAGTATTTGTGCAAGGTTACATGCAAATTCTTGTCATATAATCTGGACTTGATGCTTTAAGAATTAGTCCTATCCTCAAGACTGCAAATGGAATGTGGTGGACAGAATAAGCGCTCTGTGGAGATGCCCACATCCTAATTCCTGGTACCTGATATGTTACCTTGCAGGGTGAAAATAATTGGGTAGATGCTAGTAAAGTTAAATATCTTGTGATCGGAGATTATTCAGGTGGGTGCAGTCTGCTCATGTGAATCCTTAAAGGCAGAAGAGGGAGGTAAGGGTAGGTCAAAAAAGAGACAGGAGGAAGAAAGACTGAATGAGCTAGAAAGACTTGACTTGCCACAGGTGGCTCTGAAGTTGGCAGAAGTGGGCCACTACCCAAGGAATGCGATCACCCCTAGAAAGGCCTTTAGCCTGGTTACATCTAGCAAGAAAATGGAAAATGTAGGTTTAGCCTGGTTACAGCTAGCAAGAAAATGGAAAATTTAGGTCTACACAAGAAACTAACTTTGACTCCAACCAGAAAAAGCAGGAAACAGATCCTCCCTGCGAGCCTGCAGAAAGGAATGTGCTGGCACTTGGTTATAGTTGAGTGAGACCTACCAGAGCTCTGACATTCAGCACTCTGAAACAATGCAGTTGTGTCATATGAAACCACTCAATGTATGGGAAACTTGCATAGCGACAGGAAAGTGACATGCTAAGATTTAAATATGTGAGTATTAGATTGCTAACATTTGTCACTTTTGAAGGCATATTTCCCAAGGCTGATACCCGATTTTAACTAAACTATTATCTTTTTGGCTTCTGTTTTCTGATAAAGAGAAACTGGAAAAATAGAAAAAGAGCTATGCTCACCCTGCAAGGAGAGGCTGAAATGTGTCTTTTCTCACTGATAAAAATTTTATAACCCTTAATGCCCAGCTACCTTTTTGTTATGGGTTTAAAAATTTTATAGTTTTAAAAATGTCATCTTTGGGGAGGAGAGAGAAGGACAGTAAAAATTATCAAGATGCAATATGTATATGCATCAGTTCTCCACATTGAATGTGATTATTATGTATCACAAACATATACTAGTAAAAAATAAATTTAAAAAACTCCAATTTGCCCATGATTTGCCTTTAGTTTTCTCAGCTGGGCATTTGTTTCACAAATAGTAGTTTTTATTATAAAAATGAAATGCAGACACTCCTGGCTTAACAGCAAGAGTTCCAGTCCTGCACCTGGGTCCTTAAATGAATTGGTCGCTAAATGAGGAATTGTATATAGTACATACATTAAAATATTCAAAATGAATGGTCATAGGAAAGTCCAACCTGATGACCCTGCTTTTATTTGCATAACTCTTCCAAGTAGCAATGTAATGTATAACAGAACATAAAATTATTGTACTGCACTGTAGAAGAAGCCACCATTAGGTTGCACAGCTGCGCACCTTCCTGTGTGTAAATCGAATGTGGGTGGTCGGTCTGAACAGAGCGCCTCCATGGAATGTCTGAACAGTCGTTAAAAGGGTAGGTCATTAAATGAGGCCTATTCGTAGTCCTATGTAATAGAACTGTTACGGCTATGACCTAAACTTTCCTGAAACGTATCTGCTAAAACAATGATCATTTCCCACACTCATTTTAATTTTTGTATGAAACTTTCCTAGAGAATGACAGGGCAGATATTCCAACTGACCTGCTTCCCTTCTGGGGGATGTTCTTCCTCAACCTTTGGGGAAACTGGTGAACTGGCATTCGAAGTAGAATTACTGCACGTTGAAGCAAAGGAGTCTGGGGAAGAGTTATTCGTTGCTCTCCAGAGGGTGGACGCAGATGCAGGCATGGTCCCACCACCCTTCAGCAGGGTCTCCGCCATACCAACCAGCTCTTCAAACTGCGTGACTGCCTGGGGCAAGACTGAGACAGCAGGAGAAAGCAGCAGCTCACAAACATGGCAGAAAAGTGCATGCACACTTACTTTAGTGTGTGTGTGTACAGAAGTAGAGGGAACAAATTGTTAGTATTCTTTGGAAAATAAGCACTTGTAAACTATTTACTTTTCATTATTAAATGACTTAAAAATTGCTTAATAATACATTAAAATTTGGTTATTGTATTTAAGTGAATACGCATTACTTTGAAACTAGAAAGAATGTCTTAAACAGTAAACTTTTTGTCCAGTTGCTGAGTATTATTCAAAGGTGTTGAGTCTTTGGTTTAGAGACAAGATTGATATTCCTATCAATCACCTTTGAGAAGCTCCTGCTAGGTCAGGTGAGTGCCAAGACAAAAATTAGTTACTTCTCACAGATGAAAATAAATTTTCTATGACCTTTGTTTATGGTTTACCAGGGGTCAAATTCCATCAAATTAATAAGAATACACTGTTGCAATTCAAACCTATGTTGTCAAACATTAGACAAATTTTTGCAATCTCTGAACATTCCCTTTGTTGTTCCCTTTTGTTTGTTACTGGGAACTTACACATTCAAAGTTTTCACGCCCACAGATACAGTGGCCTCCTCTGCTGTCTTACCTACCTTGTCTTCTGAGGACAAGCAACATGTTGTTGCAGTTGAAAGAGACCGTAAGCCCTGTCTAGTTCAGCTCCTCACTGAATGGTTGAGGGCACTCCTTGCTGGAGAGATGACGACTCTGAAATTCTGTTTTTCTCCTTAAAGCATATTACTGAGCTATAATCTTTTGAATAATTAATGGCATGTGCATCCACATTAGTGCATCTGGTACTATATTAACAGAAAAATCTACTAAGAAGATCTTACTTCCTGTTGTTTCAGTAAATATTTAGTAAGCACTTCTCATGTGCCAGACACTTATTCTTCAGTGGTTTTTTATTGAGCATTTAATAATATTAACTATCTAGTTTTTAATGTCATGCCCTATCCTGAGAACTTTACTGATTGCATTTGTACAGTCATTGGAGCCCCCTGACATATGAATTGTCACTATCCCCAATGTGTAGGAGAGATTAATTAGGCAACAAGAGGTTAAGGAATCTGTCCAGGGTCACCCAGTGAGTGGAAAGAAGAGACAAGATTCAAGTTTAGATCATCTTGAATCCAAATCCTTGTTTGTTACACAGCGTAGACAATTATGCTATGTGCCTGGGATAGAACTGGGAGTCACTTTTGGAGCTCAGAGTTGAGGAGAATGGAGGACATTTTTGACATAACCATACTGTGCAGTAAGAATTTTGTCTCGCTCAAAGAGGGTCAGGACTTTGTCCCAGTTCCTGGGATGTAAGGGTTTAGTCTAAACCCTTAGAATTTCCTGAAGTGATAGGAAGTTTTTGTTAATTGTGGTAAGCCCTAGAACCACACCTGATAGTTTTTGCTGATAGGGCAACTCACCATAGCCTTTTACCTTCAAAAGCCCAGGGGTAGAGGTTGGCCACAGCCATCAAATCCAGAGAGACCCACCATATGATTTAGGGACTGAGTGCAAGCATGTGGGTGGGTAATCAATCAGTCAATCAATCAATCAATCAATCCTGCTCTCACAATAAAGCCTCAACCAAAACTTGGGATCCCAAAGTTCTGCGCCAGAATACTGGAGATGCAGTATTGCAGCACACTCGTATGTCACACACAGGTACTGGAAGGTAAGGCATCCAGAGGACAACTGCTATTTCATTTCACATTTGGAAACTTTTGGCCTCTACACTCCTTCTCCTCAGATTCCAATTTGCACCCTCACCTTGTAATAAATACAACCATGAGCACAATATGTGTGAAGGAGTTCTGAATTTTTCTAGCAAATTGTTGAAGGTAAGGTAGTTTGGGGAGACTTCCATATTTGTCATTGGTATCCTAGTCTTGGGAAGGGTTGATGGTCTAGAAGACAATGTCCTTAGCCTTTCAGTTTGTCTAAGGTGTTACATGCAAAGAAATTAAGAACTGTGATTCTCAAGCACCACAAACAAGAGGACTGAGTTGCCTGGCCCAGCTCATGGAAAGGCAGGGCTTGCCCGGGAGGGACACAAAGGGCCACTCTGAGGATGTCAGGGTTGATCTGAAGGCGGAGCAGGAGTTAAACAGTGAAGAGGATGGGCGGTGAGTCATTAGAGGTACAGGAAGTGCAAGTTCTGCATCTGAAGAACTGAAAGACCATCACTAGACTATAACAGAGAAAAAGGGAATTTGGCAGTGAGAATAATTTAAGAATTATTACTTAAATTACTTAAATAATAATTTAATAATAATGACTATTTTTTCTAACTATAAAAGTATGTGTTCATTAACATACAATCCTTGTCATTTCTATCCATTTATCTCTTTTTATTCATGTAATTTTTATGTAAATAGAATGTATACATAGCATTGTATCAACATGGGTCTTCTTTCCAATTAAAAATCTAAAGTGAACACTTTGCCTATTTTATTAAACCTTCCTGGAAAATATGATTTATTTTTTTGAGATGAGGTCTCGTTATGTAGCTGAAGCTGGACTTGAATTCACTGTGTAGCCTAGGCTGGCCTCAAACTTGCAGCAATCCTCCTGTCTCAGCTTCCTGAGTGCTGGGATTACAGTCATAAGTCATCATGCCTAACTCGAAAATATGATTTTTTTTTGAGGTATAATTAACATTGAGTCTTCTTACCTTAAGTCTGAGCTGAAATGAAGTGCATAAAGAGGAAGAGTTTGACAAATGGGTACCTTGGGTTAGTGCACTCTCCCAGACATGGAAAAGCCAGAGGCAGTGGCATCCCTATAATCCTAGCTACTACAGAGGCCAAGGCTGGAGGGTCACGAGTTTGAAACCAGTCTGGGCAACACAGTGAGAACTCATCTCAGCAGCAGCAGCAGCAACAACAACAACAACAACAACAACAACAACAACAACAGAAAGAAACAAAAGTCAAAACAACCTTGTAAGAAAATCTTTGGATTTACCTCAGAGGCATGCAGATTAGTGCTTTATTTACTTGCTCTAGAACTGCATATAAAGATTCTCAACAGTATATGCTATCTTGTCCTTTTTTTTTGCTTTTGCTCTGCATAATAGTTTAAGATTCACTCATGTTGTTGAATGTATGAATAATCATTCCTTTTTGTGTCTGACTAGTATTCCACTTCTCCACAATTAATACTATGCAGTGCATGTACTTACCCATTGATGGCTTATTTTTCATTTGAAACACAATTTTAATGGTTTCCTAAATATTCCAAGATATTGGTGTGGCATATTTCATTTAAAAGCTTTTCTGGGGGAGGGGATGGTATGGCTTCTTTTTTTTTCTTTATTGCAAACAAAACTATGACAAACTCCCTAGCACACCCATCACCATATGCATCTCTGATCAAGTTAATGTTAAAAATTCCTAAGAGCATAATGAGATGGTCACGATGTGTAAAGGTTTTCAGGACTCAGTATTGCTGAGCTACTCTCTAGAAAGATTTTTTTCCAAGTTACCCTCCAAAAGGAATGTAAGAAATCAGCTCCATCACTGCTGTGTTTATCATTACTGACAATCTTCACCTTTTTTGACAGGCTAAAGTCAGGAAAATTTAAATTGCAAGTATTTAATTATTGTGAAGTTATACATTCTTTTTGATTATTTGAATTTCTTTTTGAATTGTCTGAAACCTTGGGATACTAATATTTTTCTATTTTGTAAGAACTTACAAAGTATTTGTAAAGTCTTTCAAGGATGCTGAGTGCACAATGGGTCTGCTATTATAATAATGCCTTCATATATTAAGTACATTAACTTTTTATTTGCCTCATGTTGCAAGTATTTCTCTGTTTATCTTTTAATTTTTGACATTTAAAAAGTATACACAAAAAAGTAGGTATGGTGATACATGGTTATAGTTCCAACCACTTGGAGACTGAGGCAGGAAGATCTTGTGAGCCCAGGAATCCAAGGCCACATTGCCCATTTAAGGTTCTGGACCACATAAGGAGATCCTGTCCCAAATTAAGTAAGTAAATGTACACTGTCCACATACACAGTTTGAGCTTTTATCTTAGTTAAAAGTAGCAGTATTTTCTTATTATACTCTCTATTTTATTCTCATAATCATTTATCATTAAGCTCAGTTAAGTATTAATTCATGTATTTTGTGTAGTTTAAACATCGTTTTACAAATGAGCTCCCCCAATGCACTCCTAAAACTTTTAATAGAAAATCATAAACAAACAAAAACAGTAACATTTCTGAGTTTTTACTCATGGCCAACCTTTCTATATACCTCCATCTGCTTTCTTCCCAAGATTGCTTGAAGCAGTCTGTAAATATTTAATCCTGTAAATATTTCTGTATGCAACTCAAAAGGTAATAACTGTTTAAAATATAACTACCGCATCATTGCCACAGAAATAATTAACAATAATATTTTAATGTCATCCAAAAAGTTAGTGCAGGGCTGGAGATGTAGCTTGGTGATACAGTGCTTGACTAGCATACTCAAAGCCCTGGCTTCCATCCCCAGCTCTGCAAAACAAAACAAAATCTGCACCAACCTTCAGATTTCTCTGACTTTTTAACGGTTTGTTTGAATCAGGATCCAATAAGGACCACACATTACAATTTACTATAGTCCCTTTCATATGAACTAGAGGTTCCCTCTCTCTTCTAGCTTTTTACTTGCACTTTATTAGTTGAAGAAACTCAGTCGTGAATCCAGGCCACCACCTGTGGGGTCTGGGCTGGTGCCAGGAGGACCTAGGAAGTGCACACCTCTCCTCCAGGCCCTGGGGTCTCCACAGAACAGGGCAATGGAGGTGACAATCAACAGACCGACCCGCCTGAGGAGGAGTCCAGCAGCCAGGGGGAGAGCCTCGCTTCAGGACTAAAGGGATCCCTTCCAAAGAGACCACTGAGAGACAGCCTTGAGAAACGGGCTTGGAGAGGGGGAGCGTAATCAGGAATCTTCTAGGACCTATGGGAGGCTGGGGCTCAGCTCAGGAGGACATGGGGCCTCTCTTCTGTTGTGGGAAGCCAGGATGGATCATGGGAGTGACTGTCAGAGGGGCAGCCCTGAAGAAGGCATGGGGCTAGCACTCCCGCCAACACCTAGCAGAAACCAGGGCTCTGGAGTTTCGAAAGGTCGATACAAGAAGGCTCACTGCACTAAAACCAGAGTTCATTTTGCTTTGGGGAATGGAGGTTCATGAGTGTTTTCCAGGGTCTGTCAATATCCTGTTGACATTGGTGCCACTGTGGTCCCTGAATTACTGCCACAGAAAAGGGAATGCAGCAGCAGCCAGCAAGTGGTTTTCTCTCTATGCCAATACCTGGGCTGCCTGGGGTTCACGAATAATCCTGTGGCATACTCCCGAACAACAGGGCACTGGGCCATAGAATTTGCAAGCCCCAGCACAAAAAACAAGCAAACAAAAATACAAGATAGGAAATGACAAAAGCAACAAAATGCCTCCAAAACCTCCAATGCACCTAAAATTGGTATAGGGTCATAGTATTACAAGACCACATCCAGGAGCTGGAAATGCTCTTTACTGTTATGCTCTTGTTCCTAAGCCTGTTCTGTCAACAGTATTAGGAAATCTATGATACTATTTTTAAAAGATGAAATTTTTATATTGAAACCAATACTTTCCATTAAAATTGAGAAGATGGAGTTTTACTGAAACTGTATATTTATGCTTTTCATGTGCCACACGATGTGAAATGAGAACCCAACATGTAGTAGCAGTTCTCCCCACACCACTGCTGAATAACTCATCCTTTTCCCAGTTGACTTCTAGGATTGCTACATAGCTATACTTGCAGGGCCTGGTGCAGCATGAACACATGGGGCCCCTTGTTCAAAGTATCTTAAGAACTTAAAATGATGACAGTAAGACCTTTGGCCAGTGTGTGAGTAGTGCCCTTTCACTGCCTCGGTCCCAGACCATAAGGCTGGTCGCATTGACTTGTGACGATGGGAACATCACAGTAGCAAATTCTTACGGAGCATTTGGCAATGTGCCTATTTTGTTTTGTTTTGTTTTGTTTTTTTTGATGTGCCTATTTTGAGAAAGCTCTCATCTCTGATGGTGCAGAGTGGTTCAGCAGCTGACACAAGGTTAGACAGTAGATGATAGAGAAACAGAGAGACAGACATCAGAGCCAGGGCTTGAACCAAAGTAGTTTGCTAGGATTTTTTCAGTACTGGAGTTTGAACCTATGGCCTCACAAACGTTAGGTCAGTGCTCCATCGCTGAGCTGATCCTTGTCCTTTGTATGTCTCCAGTGGGGTGCATTGTTTTCCCACACTATTGTTCCCAACAGGAAAACAAAAATGGAATCATTAGTTCCAGTGCTTCCGGAATGGATCACAAGCCCCATTTTCTAGAGCTTTTCCTATCAAGGAGGAAAGAGGTAAGTGCGTGATGAGCACTTTAACGTAATTTTCTCTGTTTTACTCATTTTTTCCTCTCTTGGGGGTACCATCTGAGTGGTCAATATTAAATGCTCAATAAATATCTGTTGAACATTATTAAATAAATACAATATTGGATACTTTGGGGGAAAATTTAACATATTTTGAGCAATAAACAATGTTTTAAAACAATGCCTCCATATTTAAATCTTAAAATTGAGTGATTTTCTTAAAATGTGTCCTTTAAGCCGTCTAAAGTACTGATGGCAGCAGATCTGCAATACTTTTCAATGGCTGTGTATTTTCACCGGATTCCTCCAGGTTTACCTTGCAGCATGACCAGAGACTGACGCAGCCGGCTATTTTCTTTCCGGGTGTTCGCTAGTTTTTCTTTCAGGCTTTTTATCTTGGCACACAATTCCTCCTTGCATAGCTCTGCCAAGGGCGTCTCATCTTCACTGGAGCTCTCACCGGGCAGAAAGGCGTTTCCTGCGTACAGGTCTCTCTAGAACGCGGGCAAGCACAAAGAAAGAAGGGTCAGGAGCCCTGGGCTGGTCTCCTCCCAAGCCCTGTGTGCCAAAGAGGCTTCATCAGGCCCACAAGTGTCTGTTCCCACAGGTTTTCCTGCTAGCAACTGCCCCAGCTCATCCTCAGCTGTCCGGAAGTACTCAGGGAAGGGAAGAACAGTTTCCCACATAGCTGCCTCTTACCAGGATTCTGACTTTCTGCCCAGCCTCAGAGAACAGTACCATACAGTATACAGTACAGTGGACCCTAGAAATTCAAGGGGGATATGTTCCTAGAGCACCTAAAAATTGTGAAAAATGAAGAATTTCAGATACGGCCAGAAAAATGTCTAAAATGCCAATTTTAATAGTTTAAACCTTGAATATGCCATGTCTTCTGCAGTTGTATAATTTAATTTAGTAAAATACTGTATTAATAAAGCCTTCGAAGGTGCGGGGCATTTTGGCAGCACCTTAGGGATTTTAGGGCTTTAGGAAGAACAGAACCAAGAACACTGGTGCGACTGCAGGAGGTGGGCAGCAGCCAATCAGCAGCAAGGAGAACTGAATCACGCTCTCAGATTGGCTACTTGCATACCTCCTGCCAAAAACAAAAAAAACACAAAAAACAAAAAACAAAAAACTAAAAACCAAAAAACAAAAAATCATACAAAAAAGAAATCTTGGAGGATATTTGCATTTTCTGCAGAATTGCGGGGGTTTTTGGACAATCATTGGCAGATTAGGAAAAATCTGCGAAGGACTGAGGCCACAAACTCTGAATGGTGCCTTCGCTGGTGTGTGTGTGTGTGTGTGTGTGTGTGTGTGTGTGTGTGTATTGTATTAGCGGAGAATAAACAAGACTGCCATTCAAATCTAGGGTGCTCTGAAATGTAGTCTGTCTTAGGTCAAATGCTTCACAATCTGAAGTTTACTTCCTCCATCTGTGAAGTTATACACAAATATCATGTAATAAAATAGGAAACCTTAACAAGATGGAGAAAGTACAAAATGTATTGCTTTGATATGCCAACTACAGTTAGTGGCCAGTGTTCAAAAGGACACCATGTATTAAGTCAGAAAAGTAGTTACCTGCAGGGACAAGCATGGGATGGTCGCCATACGGGTGCAGGAGGGTGTCTTATGGGATGTCAGTAGTCTAATTTTTGATGTGGATAGGTTGCATTTGTAATAACTCATCAAACTGTACATTCTTGATCTGTGCATTCTTTTGCATGTATATTATACTTCCATAAAATGTTTCTCTAAGATTCTCTAGGAAATAATTTTTTATAGCACCTCTTGACAGTTTCCAACCTGAGAGTTTACATATTGTATATTTATGTTTATATCTTCATCAGAGAGCAGATGTCATTAATGCACAACAAAAGGTTCAAGACAGGAAGATAGTAAAAAAGCTTTACTGAAAGTTGATTGTGGGCTGGCTCATAGCTCAGTGCACTTGCCAAGCATGTGTAAGCCACTGGGTTTGATCCCCAGCACTGTCATCTAGAAAGACATCATGTTCAAAAATAAAAAGCCATAATATAAAAATACTAATTATCGTCAACATGAGGTATAGAGTTAATATAATTCTGACAAAAATCCTAAAGTATTGGAACTTAATTTCATTTTAAAATTTAGGTGAACAATCAGAAGGTGAAGAATATCCAAAGAATTGCTAAGGAAGTATGATAGAGTTTTTCTTTACAGGTGCAAGGGCTTATTGAAAATCTAGTGCAATTACAATATGAGTAGATAAAAGGATGGTCAGCACAGTCAAGAGATAGAAAGGAGAGGCCAAAAACAGAGACACAGGAACACGAAGAACTTTGGTTACGACAGAGGGGCACAGGGGCTCCTGGGGAGGGGCGATGTATTCAACAAATAAAGCTGGAAAAGCTGATGAACCACGTAGGAAAAAGATAAAGACCGTGGACCTCTGCTTCGTTACACACACACACACACACACACACACACACACACACACACTCCTGCAGGGGGGTCAAGAATGTAAATATCCAAAGTAAATCTTTAAATTGTGTAAGAAAATAAAAGTAAATATATTTTGACCTTGGGATGGATTTTAAACATAAAATCACTGGTCATAATAAAAGATTAATACATTAAACTAAAGTTAAGAACTTTTGTTCATAAATGAACATTTAGAGAAAGGGAAAAGATATCAAACCAATGGAAGATACATATTTGCATTGTTAACTAATAAAGGGCTGTGTGTGTGTGTGTGTGTGTGTGTGTGTGTCTTTTGCCCCCTACAAATCAATAAGGAAAACTAATCTAGAACTTCAATAGCAAAATGAGCAAATGACATGAAGAACTATTTTATAGGATAGTAAATACACAGGCCAATAAGTATACGAAAAGATACTCAACCTCATTAGCAGTTAAGGTACAGATCAAGTCTGGGGCAAAATATCATTTGAAAGTTTTTTTTTTTTTTTTTGGTTTTTTTTTGGTTTTTCTCCGGTACCGGGAACCGAACTCACGACCTTGCGCTTGCCAGGCAGGCGCTTTTGCCGCTGAGCTAAATCCCCAGCCCCCAAAATATCATTTGAAATACCATGATGAAATATCATTTGGGGCAAAAATTACGGAGTTTCATAAAACCATGCATAGAGTGGAAATAGATCCCTCGTGTTTCCCACATACTGCTGGTAGAAACCACAATTGGTATACTACTTTGGAAAACATTTTGACATTATCTTGTAAAGATTATCACTTATGACTCTGACCTTGCAATGGAGGGTCTATAAGTAAAACAAACTTTTAGTATGTATACACAAGGAAATATGTCTAAGAATGTTTAATATCAGTGCTCCGGTGTCCCCCAGAATCTGCATTAGTAAATTACAATGAGATATTTTCACTCATCAATTTGGCAAAAATTAGAAATATAGACATTAAAGCTAAGTGTTGGAAGCGTATAAATATAGAGAACCCTTACACACTGCTGCTGCGCAGGCAGAGTGATGAACATTGTGAAAAACAATCTTATACTATCTAGTCAAATGAACCTGAAATAAACAGGTAGTTTGTAAGTCATAAATCCCCCTCCTGTATATTTATTCTAAAGAAATTCTCACGCTGTATATTAAAAGACACATATGAAGATTTTGTCATTGTTTGTGGAAGCAAGATGCTGGAGGTAACCTAGGGACACATTACTTCAGGAACAGATAAACAAATATGGTACTACACAGCCATCAGAGGCAATGGATCAGATATGCACTGAGCAATTCAGACAGATGCTGAAAGTAGTACTGACTGTATGGAAATAACCTAAGTATTCAACAGTGGATGATTTAATAATGAAACTATTACATACATTTAATATATACGTATATGTGCATATGTATATAATGGCATATCATTCAGGCTTAAAAAAGAATAAGATCTTGCTGTGTGGTATAGGGTGGATGAACCTTTCCATGTCTGACTTAATATAATATTATATTATATTAAGTCAGACATGGAAAGAAAAATACTGCATGGTATCACTTATATCTAGAATCTAAGAAAAAACAAGCAAAACCCCTCAAATATGCATAGATAATAAAACAGTGATTCAGCGGTGGTAGGTGGGAAAGGGGATTAGAAAATGGGAGTATTAGGTCATAGAGTACAAAATAATACAATGCTCAACATGAGGACTGCAAGTAACAAAATTGTACTACATTTGGTATTCATGCTAAAGGAAAATATTTTAACTACTCTTGCCCAAGAAATAAGTGCAAACATAATGTTGTGAAATGATAATGTTAACTTCTTTCACTATAGTAACCCTGTCACTATTTATATTTATCCTACAACATATTATATACCTGAAATTTTATAAATATAAGCTGTTATAAAAATAATGCTGATTGAGGGGCTGGGGATTTAGCTCAGCGGCATAGCGCCTGTCTGGCAAGCACAAGGTCGTGAGTTCATTTCCCAGTACTGGAAAAAAAACGAAAACAAAAACAAAAAAATTAATGCTGATTAGAACAATCAGAAACAAATTAAGGTTTATGTTATGATATCAATGTATTGGTAAATGATGTATATGATGTCAACAGTATAGTGTGACCTATAATTTAAAAAGATCAATAACAACCCCATCTATCACAGGAGACTGGTTAAATAAAAGCTGGAATAATATGGAGCTGTAAAAAAGAGAAAGCTGTCTATTAATGGAAAAATCTTCAAATTATAGGGAAATACAAAGAAGTACGTAAGTTCAGTTACTTTTATTCCAAACAGTATAAGAACATATATTCATATTTACTTTATTTGAACAAAGAAACACATGAAGGATAAATAAGAAAGAAAGCAATAGTAGGAGAGACAGTATATAGCAGGGAGACAGTATATAGTATCTGGGAGAGACAGTATATAGGGAGACAGTATATAGTAGGGAGACAGTACATGTCAGGGTGGTGTAGGGGTTGATAGGGTGGGTAAGAGGCAGGAATATGGGGGAGATTTTCACTGTTTATCCTTAAAAAAATTTTTTTTTGGTACTGGGAATTGAACTCAGGACCTTACACTTGCCAGGCAGGCGCTGTGCCGCTGAGCTATAACCCTGGCCCTTGAAAATGCTTTAAAACATAAGAATGCAACATACTTAAAGAATGAAATAAGAATAAAATATTACAAGTATTACAAAGACATATACAAGTACATGTACTAGAAAGACACAGTTTGAACAATGACAGATTTGGCCATAATTAAACAAAAGTAGGTACATCATTGATGTCTCTAACTCAACCTATTTGACATTAAAAAGGGCATGAAATCATATTCCCTTAACTGAATAAACAATTAAGGGGAAGAATAAATTAATAGAATAGGGAAAGTATGAATAATTATTATGAGAATTACAGTAGACAATAAAATTAAATCAAGGCCACAGAAAACCAACCTGTCCTTTATCCATGTCACTATTTGCATTTTCTGAGTCCATTGTCTCCGTCCTTTTCCTCTTTCCTTTTCTGAGAGCTTCAGTATTGATGATTTCATCTGTCTGCAAGATCTTCTGCATTTTCCTAAGTAGTTATCAAAGGTTTTCTGAAACTGCAGGTGGGAATGTCCATGTGGATGATGCTATTCTGGATAGAGCCCAACAGCTAATATTTTTCCTTAAAAACAAAACAGAAAGGATACAGAACACATTTATACACATTTATACACATTTATACAGAACAACTGTATGTTTCATAATGACGCGATCTATTCAGGCAAATTAGTTTTACTAAATGCTTCCTCCTATGGTTCTTCCTCCTGCTGACAAACTATAGCATATGTTTTCATTTGATTTAAAGCATCTCAGTTCTATTATCATCATGAAGAGGCCAAGGCTGTGATGTACAGTGAGCTGTCACTGACAAAATGAAGTAATGTAGAAAACATTTCCTATGTTTGTAAATTTTTTCATGTCATGGGGATGAAGAATCTAAAGAGTAAGTTGAATTCTTATATACAGCACCACAGAAACTGAATTTATATATTTTAGGAAAAAGATGTTAATAATAGTAGACCTTACCAGGAGCAAGGACTAAAATTGTGCCAGGGAGATCAATAAAAAATTTTGGGGAGGCTTTTTTTTTTGTTTACTTTAAAAAAACCCAGAAAATTCTAAAATACTGAGATGGAAGATTTTTCTTGGTGCAAACTGAAGAACTGTTCTATTAGGGTTGAAATGGTGAAATTGAACTTTTGGTTAACATCCTTAGCACTTGTATATATTGGTTTGTTTTCCTGAAAAAAATTGTTATAAATAATAAACTTTGTAAAAGGAATTGCGTTTAAAATCTTCCAAGAAATATGTGCCCCACTGAGTAGACAGTAACATTATGTTTCTTATCAAATTTATACTAAGTACTTATATTAGAAAATATGGTTCTTTTGTATGTTTTGTCCAAGCACAAAAATGGATAAACTTGATTTTTAAAACTTTTTTGATGCTTTTAAACACATTAATAGTACTGAGTTTACACACAGGACCATATTAGCAAATCTAGCTCAGAAACATCAAAGATCTTAGCCAGCATAATGCTTTACTCATAATTTCAAAGGTATAAGCAATCAAGAGGCACAGGTGAAGTAGGGAGCGGTCTCAGGCATCCTGCTGGCTACCTACATGCTTCCTTCTCATATATGTACTCCGTGATCCAGAATAAGAGGGGAGGCCTCTAAGTTAGGTTTGAGGGCCACCAAATGTAATGGGGAGTGTTCAAGATGTGACTTATGGCTGTTTTACATTTCAGAATTGTATAGCTTGTTTGACATTCTCTAGGGAGTTATACATCCATAAATTCTAAGGATGTTTGCCATAAGCAGTCTTAAACCAATGATATACCACTAGTTTCCAGATCTTCTGTTTAAATGGCTTAGATAATAAATATTTTAAACATTACAAGGTGAAGTACAAATGTAGGACATTATACACTGTAGGGACTTATACAATAAGAGCAGACACAAGTTTTCGTATTTTTATTTATAAAATTTGAAATATAATAGAGTACAACTTTTTGTAAGACAGATTTACCAGTAGAAAGAGTGGAGTCAAAATGCCATTTTGCTTAAGTGGAGTTCAAAGTTACTACTAGATATCATCAAAATAAATTAAAAATGCTCATTTTTAAATACTGGTCTATAAGGAAATTTTCATATTTCCTCCCTGAAGATGTTGTTTACACTGAAAGTACAGTACTGGCATACATTAATATAAATCCATGAGTTTAGAAGTTTCTTAAGATAAAATTCAGTACCTGTCTTGGGGAGGGAGCACCAAGATGGTGGAGTGGTAAGCAGCAGAGAAAGAGCCTGTCTGAGAGTTGCCATCCAGATGCTGGGATATAGCAATATGAAGAAGACAAGAAGGAGGGAAGTGGGTACCCTGGATGCAGGAATGATTTGAAGTGAGAACTGAAGCCCACAGAGAGGGTGAAGAGAGGACCATCTTGGAGAGAGGGCAGTTGAGCTTAGAATTCAAAGTGGCTGCCAGCTCTATCTAGGTGCCTCCCAGCTGGGATCAGGCCTGCAGTAGGTGCACTGACAGCTGCAGGCTGAATGAGGCTGGTCTCATCCAGAAGGTTCAGGCTTGCTGAGATTATCCCCTACCCTGTCAAAAAGCTACTGCAGGCTTGCTGGGATAGACTGGACCTGGACGGGGACTCTGTCTCCACATGTTGTCTACCAGTAACAGCACAGACATACCTGGAAGTGGGCCTTCTATTTTTTTTTCTCTCTCTCTTTTGTTTGTTGATTATTGCTGTGGTGGTGGTTTTGTTTTTTTTTTTTTTTTTTTCTCCTTTGTTGTTTGATCTTGTTTTTATATGAGTGTGAATGTGGTCTCCAGCCTGTTTGTGGTTGTGGTTCTGTTCTGTTTCTTTTTTTATCTCTTCCTTTTCTCTTTCCCTCCAGTCCTCTGTACCAGTTTCCCAAAGTTAGCATGATCCCTCTTTGTCCTCTAGCTTTACTTCTAATCCTTTCCTCTTCTTCCACTTCTCTATTTTCTCCCTCACCCACTTTAAATTTTAATTCCCTGGGGGCAAAATTAACATACTAATACTTGTATACTGCATACAATTTTCTGGTTTGTTTTAGATTTTGTTATATAATCACAAAACTAATTCATATGGTTAAAGGTGGCAAAATAATGGTTAGCTCAGTTTGTCATTTTCTAGGCTGTGTTCAATGCTATTGCCATTGCTGATGGTACCACTGCAGCCAAAAGTGACATTATTGTTCTAAACAGCTGTTTTTCCTGGTATTCCAAGACTTAGATTGACTAAGGGTTACAGAAAGTACTGTGACACAGTGCCAAAGAAACAGGGGCTGGGCCAAACAGGCAGCAATTTTTCATCCCCAACAAATTGAAGAGGTATTATTTTGCAACAGACTCAAAACCCAAAAGCCAGCTACTCCTGGAAGATATATCAGAGAAGTACTCATTGCCTAAAGGTTCTAAATACTACCAATAAAGCAACCCACCGTAGGCAATTTACCAGTATCACCCTAGGAATTAAAGTAAAAAAGAAAAGAAAATGAGAAGATACTTAAACAACATGCAACCCCAGACATCCAGTTCACCAAAGGCAAAGCCAGGGGGGCAATGAGGTGGGACAATCTGAAAGACACCCACCTGGCCTCTCTGAAATGGTAACAGTAAAGTAATTGAATGAAGCTCTTGAAAAAATCAAATCAGAAATAACTTCTCAGATAACTACCAAGATGGTGACCACAATGAAAACCATGCTTAGTGGCTCTAGAAGAGATACAGACAAAAAATAGAGGAGCTTAAGAAAATTATGGAAGCCATGAATGTTCAGCATAGGAAAGAAATGGAATCCACAAGACAGATTCAAGCAGATATCCAGGTGAATAACAATTCCAGTGAAAGTATCTGCAGCCCATTAAGCCACTGTGAGGACAGCATCTCAGATATAGAAGACAGGCTTGCACTTAGTAATCATGAAAAGAAAGATTTCTTAAAAATGGCAAGGGACCATGAGAAATCAATCCAGCAGCTGCTAGATGAGGCAAAGAAGAATGAGTTAAGATTGCTTGGAGTCAATGAAGAAGCAGGAGATAGCACAAATGATAAAAAAAAAAAAAAAAAAAACCAAAACTGTTTACAGATGTCATGGCAGAAAACTTCCCTGTCAGAGAAAAAGAATTTGACATACACATAAGTGAGGCATATAGAACTGGAATTAACCACAATAAAAAAAATCTACAGCCAGCATATCATAGTCAAGATTCCAGAAATTCAACACAAGAATAGAATTTCAAAAGCTGTTAGGGAAAGAAATAAATCACCTACAAAGGAAAGCCCATTATAATTACAGCTGACTTCTCAGCACAAATGATCAAGTAAAGGAGAGCTTGAAGTGGAGTATTTCAAGTTCTAAAGGAAAACAATCTCCAATCCAGAGTGATGTACCCCACAAAACTAGCTTTCAAAATGGATGGAGAAATAAGACACTTCCATGACAAAGAACACCTGAGGAAATTTATGACTACCAAACCAGTACTCCAAAATGTTCTGAAGGAATGACAGAAAGCGATAACAAGGACTACAACTCCATGAACCCCAACGGAAGGAATCTACCAGGCAAGGCAAACAATTAAACAGAGGGAGGTGGAAAAAAAGGGGGAGCAAACAACAGGAAAATAATATGACAAAGATAAATAAATACATACCAGTTATAACCATCAATGTTAATGGTTTCAATTCACCAATCAAAAGACACAGACTGGCAGAATGGATCAAGAAGCAAGATCCAACAATATGCTGCATACAGGAAACACATTTAATTAAAAAAAATCATAGACTGATAGCCAAAGGATGAAAAACAATACTCCATGCAACAGGAACCCAGAAAAAAGCATGGGTAGTTATTCTATTTGCAGGCAAAGTGAATTTTAAGCCAAGTCTGATTAAAAGACTAAGAAGGTTACTACATCCTTGTAAAGAGAACAATCCAAGAGGAAGATACAACAATCATAAATATATATGCAACAAATACCAGTGCACCCAACTATATAAAACAAATATTGATAGCATGAAAAATCAAAGAAGCACTAATACAATTGTATTGGAGGGGGCTGGGGATTTAGCTCAGCGGCAAAGCGCCTGCCTGGCATGCGCAAGGTCGTGAGTTCAGTTCCTGGTACCTGAGAAAAACCAAAAAAAAAAAAAAATTGTATCGGAGGATCTCAATACCACACTGTCACAAAAGACAGATCAACTAGACAAAAAAAATCAACAATGAAATATTAGAACTGAGCCAAACCTATGAACAAATGGACTTAGTAGATGTCTACAGAGTGTTCCAACCTAAAACATCAGAATACATATTCTTCTCAGCTGCACACAGGACATCTCCAAAATAGACCATACACTAGCCATAGAATGTGATTAAGTAAATGTGAAGGATTGAAATTATCCCATGCGTACTATCAGAGCATAGTGCAATGAAATTGGAAGTCAATGGCCAAAGAAATCACAAGAACTTCATAAACACATGGAAATTAAATAGCACCCTTCTCAAGAAACAATGGGTCACAGATGAAATTAGACAGTTTCTACAATTAAATGATAATGACAGTACAACATGCTGGAACATTTGTGACAAAAGAAAAGCAGTCCTACATGGGAAATTTATAGCAGTGAATACCCATATCAGGAAAACAAAGCAAGTGCAAACAAATAACTTAACAGTGAACCTCAGACTTCTAGAAAAAGAAGAGCAGGCTAAGCCTAAAGGTTGTATGAGGGAAGAAACCATAAAGATCAGAGCAGAAATGAATTCATTGGAGACTAAAAACAAATACAAAGAATCAATGAATTGAAGAGATGGTTCTTTGAAATATTAAAAAATTTGACAAATGCTTATCCAATATTATCAAAAAAAGGAAAGAAAAGACTCAAATCCATACAATTAGGAATAAAAAGGGTGAAATCACAATGGACCCTGCAGAAATCCAGAAGATTATCTATACCTACTTTGAAAACTTGCATTCTAATAAGACAGAAAATGCAGAACAAATGGAAAGATTCCTAGATATGTATGAATTACCAGAGCTGAATCAAGAAGATACAAAAATTCTGAATAAACCAATATCAATCAATGAAATCAAATATGTAATTAAAAACCTACCAACAAAGAAAAGCCCAGGCCCTGACAGATTCAATGCCAAATTCTACAAGAAATTTAGAAAAGACCTAATATCTCTACTTCTCAAATGTTTTAATGAAACTGAAAGTGAAGCAATACTCCCAAAGTCATTCCTAGAAGTAGCCATTACCCTGATACCAAAACCAGAGAAGGACCCAACTAAAAAAGAAAATTAATGGCCAACTTCCCTAACAAACATAGATGCAAAAATCCTCAATAAGATACTGGCAAACAGAATGCAGCAAATTATCAAGATTATACACCATAACCAAGTGGGATTCATTCTAGGGATGCAGGGATGGTTCAACATATATAAATCAATAAATGTAATACACCAGATTAACAGAGCCAAGGGAAAAAATCATATTATCATCTCAATAGATGCATAAAAAGCTTTTGACAAAGTCCAGCACCCATTCATGATGAAAACCCTACAGAAAATAGGAATAGATGGTCTTTATCTCAATCTGATAAAAGCCATCTATGGCAAACCAGCAGCCAGCATCATACCAAATGGTCAAAAACGCTTTCTCTCTAAAATCAAGAACAAGGCAAGGATGTCTACTGTATACACACTTATTCAACATAGTCCTGGGAACTTTCACCACAGCAGTTAGACAAGAGAAAAAAATAAAAGGAATAACAATAAGAAAGGAAGAAGTTAAATTATAATTATTTGCAGATGACATGATACTCTACACAGAGGACCCCCAAAACTCTAGTGAAAAACTGCTAGATTTGATAAGCAAATTCATTAGTGTAGCTGGACATAAAGTCAACATTCAAAAACCAATAGCCCTCCTGTACACAAATAACAAACTCACTGAAAAAGAAATTAGGGAAACACTTTTCACAATAACATCCCAAAAAAGTGAAATATCTAGGAATCAATCTAATGAAGGATGTAAAAGACCTCTACACTGAAAACTACAGTACTTTGAAAAAGGAGACTGAAGAGAATATTAGAAAATGGAAAGATATTCCTTGCTCTTGGGTAAGAAGAACCAATAGAGTGAAAATGGCCATACTTCCAAAACTGTTATACAGACTTAATGCAATTCTGATCCAAATTCCAACATCATATCTCACAGAATTAGAGAAAATAATCTTAAAATTCATTTGGAATCAGAAGAGACCTAGAATAGCAAAGGCAAATCTGGGCCACAAAGGCAAGACAGGAAGCATCACAATCCCTTACTTGTGTCACATCCCATTTGGTATGATGTTGGCTGCTGGTTTGCCATAGATGGCTTTTATCAGATTGGGATAAAGACCACTTATTCCTATTTTCTGTAGGAAGTTATACTATAGAACTACTGTGATAAAAATAGTGTAGTACTGACAAAACATTAGACTAGAAGATAAATGGAACAGATTGGAAGATGCAGAAACTATTCCAGACGCACTTAGCCAACTTATCTTTGACAAAGGTGCCAAACACATTCACTGGAAAAAAGAAAGCCTCTTTAATAAATGGTGCTGGAAAAATTGGCTTTGCACATGCTGAAAACTAAAATTGGATCCATATCTTTCACTATGTACTAAACTAAATTTGAAATGGATCAAAGATCTAAATATTAAAACAGAAACATTAAATCTCCTGGAAGACAGAATAGGTACATCTCTCGAAAACATTCATGTAGGTAAAACCTTTATGAATAAAACGTGGTTGCACAGGAAGTATCAAAAAGAATCAACAACTAGGAATCTCATCTCATTAAAAGCTTTTGCACAGCAAGTGAAACCACCAACAGTGTGAAGAGACAATGCACAACATGGGAAAAAATGTTTGCCAGTTGTTCCTCACACAAAGGATTACTATCAAGACTATAAAGAACTCAAAAATGAGACCTCTCAAATTTAAAGACCCAATCCAAAAATGGCATTTGAGATGAGTACATACTTTTAGATGAAGAAATACAAAAAGCAAATAAATGTATGAAAAAACATTCAACATTACTGGTCATTTGAGAGATGCAAATTAAAACAGCATGGAGATTCGATCTCACCCCAGAAAGAATGGCTATCATCAAGAAATCAACCAAACACAAATGCTGGCAGGGCTGTGGGTAAAAGAGAACACTTCTCCACTTCTGGTGGGAGTGTAGACTGGTGAAACCACTGTAGAAATCAGTGTGGAGATTCCTCAAAGGACTAGGATTGGAGGTCCCATTTGACCCAGCTATTCCCCTTCTGGGTATCTTCCCAGAGAATTAAAAACATCATACCATAGAGATACATGTGCACCCATGTTTATAGCAGCTATTACAATGTGTAATAGCTAGATCTTAGAAACAACTCAAATGCCCATCAACCGAAGAATGGGTAAAAAAGATGTGGTCATTCTATACAATGGAGTACCACTCAGCCACAAAAAGGATAAACTGGAGACTTTTATAGGTAAATGGATGTGACTTGACCGTACTCATAAGTGAAATAAATCATATATGTATGTGCAAACATTGTATTGTCTCCTTAGTGTGAGAAGCTGAAAGAATGAATAAAATCTAAAATGTAAAATAGATACTGTAAAATGGGAGGAAACTGTACAAAAGGAAAGAGAAACTGGGATGTGGGAAAGGAGAAAAGAAAGGGAAAAGCAAATACACACACACACACACACACACACACACACACACACACGATGGTTGAGATTAATTTCTCTTAGTTCATTGAAAAGAAAGGTTTGTGCTAACTTGCCTCTACTTGACTTCCTTGGATCTTTATAGTATGAGCCACCAGTAGCAAGGACCATATTTTATATTGTTGTATCGCCTGGCTCACAGGAGGTGCTCTGACTAATGTTAAGTTTACCTAACAAGGAATTAGCCCTAAAACTACATGGCTTTGGATATGTTAATGCATCTTTTGTATCTATTTGTGAAAGACCTGCTTTAGAGATTACTAATTAAATATTATGTCAAGAGCTTAATTTTCACTAAACTGGCATGGAATTGTGACCCTCTCCTCTAGGTGAACATGCTCACTTTTTTTCCAAGTCAGTAACATGCGGCACATAAGCTTTGGAGGGTCAGCCCAGCCTGTCCCTATTCTGAGCCCTCATAGCATTTGTTCCCTCCTGTGGCCTTACCCTCTTTCCCTTGTTCTGGGTATGTTCATGCAAGGCTTCTGTCTTCCAGGGTGTGTGAATAGGTTTGTATCCTTCTGAGCTTGTACACAGGAGATTATTCATATATATCTGTAATAGAACAAGTTGAAAACCAGAAAGTTGTTGCATTCTGATGTGTAAACTTAATAATCTACCTCTTGCTATACAAACATTATCACTAGACTTTTCTTGTATCTTAGATAGAATTGCTTCAGTTACTTTTACCAGTTTGAATTAGTTGACTTACTAGTTAAGCTGCTAGCAAATTCAGAAAATGCATTCTACACCTCAGAAGAACCGAAAAGTTACTTCTCTGCTCATCCCTACCCCTTTATCATTTAATCCCTGAGGAACTATAATCATGTGACTACATTTTGTCAATGTGTTTTCATTATTTAAAAACAAGCCGGGCTTCAGAAAACATCTTTTTGAACATACAGTATAATGCTTCTTGGTCACTTTCAAGATTTTGAATGAGTTTTATAAACTCTTTCATCCCAAAAGGACTTTCTATGGATAGGCTTCGGGGGGGCCTGGAACTTATATTGAGGTTTATGACCCCTAATCCACGGAACTTATCTCATCTGCCAGTCTTCACTTTTACCTATAAAGGCTTTAATATACCAAACAGCACGAGTTTTCTATCCAACTCTACCACACACCTTTCCCACTGATTCAAAACTCAAGCAAGTAGTTTTTTGTTTGGCTTTTAGGACCTGATTTTAACAAAATAAGACTTAGCCAGACTTGAATTCAGAGAATCCTGATCATTGTGTTATATAGGTAACAAAAACAGAACAAAACAAAACTAAATATATTCAAACTATCCTATAACATGAAAATAAAATATAATTCAAATATTGAGTTTTTAAAAATGAGAGAAATGTTGTATGTTGTAAAGTGCTCCAAGTATATTGCAAAAGATATTCTGTAATTCCAATTTGAAAATTTCAACATTCACACATATACTGGTTAAAAGTAGAGACCAAGTTAAATTCTGTGCCTCAGTTTACTCAACTGTGAGAAAAAGTGTCTTGTACTTGACCCTCATAAAAACACTTAAAACCATACTAGCTACATGGTTAACACAATTATTAACTATTACATACTCTTCCTCTGATAAGGTGATTTGTGTGCTTTTTTGTACCTTTATGTACTTCACATTTCCTTTGGGGAACAAATACTACTATAATCAGAAAAGAACTATTTTAATGTTGAGTTCTAGTCATTATAGAAGTGTAACTGTTACCTTCCAATAAATGAACTGTATTTTTTTTTTTTTTTTTGGTACCAGGAATTGAACTCAGGACCTTGTGCTTGTGCTGCTTGTGCCACTAAACTACATTCACGGCCTGAACTGTATTTTTTTTTTTTTAATGTTTGTGCTAATATTGTTTGGACAATTAAATGCATATATCTTGTACTCTTCAGCAACTACTTTAAGGAAAATATGTAATACATTAACCATTGTTACCCTCCTATTATCTTGTTTTGAAATTTTATTTTTTCTCTTTAAAATAAAAAAAGAAAATTCCCACTTATAAATTCACCATTTTACCCACTTCAAAGTATGCATTCAATGATTTTTAATATATTTACAAAATTGTACAAATATCAAGTTTTACCTCCCAATATGAACTTAAAATTTTAATTGAGCATATTGATTTCTGAGAAGACTATTACAGTATTCTTTTATATTTTCTTAATATTTACCTTTCAGTGGGTCATTACCTTGCAGGTTAATTACTTTGGATTAAAGGTTAGTTGGAAAATCCTGAAGTGAACAGTAAAATGGACTGTGAAATATGGAAATTTTCTTTGCATTTGTTTTGAGGTTAGAAAGGCAGGGCTGCAAGTATAATTTGATCCAGTGAACTATAATTTGGCCCATATTATTATATCCAATGAAATCTGAGTGAGGATGAATATTTCATTTCTTATTTTAAATTTTACCAATAAAGTATGGAAAGGAAATCAACATTATTTGAATCACAAATTGTTATTGAAATGACTTTACCTCAATATAGGTTTTGCATATAAATGTTTTATCATACGATTTTATCTTGCAATTTCCTAATAAATTCATCTGGGAAACATTTTCAAGTCTGTAGCAAAAGTTTATTTCCAAAGCTATTCAATGTTCTATGAACGGTCAATGACACTTCTTCTTCACAAACATTTCTATCTTGGTCCTGGTCTCAAATACTTGCACTTACCTGTCACTGAAATGCTGTGTAATGTTGGGAAAGTCAGAATATTCTTCTGTCTCTGTTCAGCTATTTTTGGTAGGTATACTGTGCATCAAATCCAGAGTTTCAGTGCAAGCTAAGTGTATGCTCTACCACTAAGCTGCTTTCCTCACCTGCCTCCTCTATTCATGGAGAAATTCAAAGAACTGGTAGCAGTCACATCTACAAGCATGAAGTACACTACTGGTTCCACAAGGTGTGACATTTTCAGAAACTGCTACTATGATCTCAGTCATTTTTGCAGTGTTATGTGGGGACTGAACATGTGCTGTCAGCGTGAGACATGTGCATGGAACATGCAGCTGTCACGTGTGAGGATTGCCTTGGGTGTGACAATTGACACAAAGCTTACTTTTATTGTAGAGTTCTATTGGTACTTTCATTGTAGCTCATACAGAAATTTGTTTCTGGTATTATCTTTTAGAATTTGTAAGGAAGTATACAGCTCATGTGAAAATGTTGATGCCCATTCTAAATACACAATACTTATTAAGAATTTAATACTTTATTTCATTGATATTTCATGTTCCTGTTAGCTACACACTATATGATGCAAGAACCTCCTGACAAAACTGCAGGGCCACTGAGATGTCAAGTATGTCTTACAAAGAGGCCAGGAAAGCAAAAGACATGTGCTGTCAGTGTAAGTGATACGTGTACATTGGAACATGCTGCTGTCACGTGTGCAGACTGTCTTAGGTGTGATAACTGAAGTAAAGATTTTTTGTAAAGCGTTATTACTATTTTCATTGTAGTTCATCTATGAATTTATTTGTGTTGAGCTTTTTTAGACTTTGTACACCAAAAAACAAAGTTGAAAATTTTGATGCTTTTATATAAATAATAAATATTAAAAATGCAATAATTTACCTTTCTGATATTTTCCTGTTAGGCATTCATTGTCTAATGAGTAAACATGACTTTGACATATGCCTGGGTAGTGGATTGATAACTGGTAGTCAACTCATAACCCCTAACTGAACTGCGTAAGCATGGTGATGGGTGTGTCTGGCCCACCTGGGGATTGTTGCCAGCAGCATAAGAGGCAGAACTGGAAAAGGAGAGGCAAAGCTGTTGGGAGCGGAGAAAGGTTGTTGGGAGCTGAAAGGCTGTTGGGAGCTGATAGAAGCTGCAAGGAGCAGTTGGTTGTTTTGGAGGAGCTCATCGTGCTGGCTTTCCTGAAGAACTTGCCTGTTTTTATCCTCTGAGGGGCTCGGGACCTTCTTGGCACTGAGAATAGCTTCAGTTCACTTTGGGCAAGCTCTGGTCCTCACTCTGAGCATCACTGTCTGGCTCCGGAGGAGAAGAAGGTACACTGCTAGTCTCTGGGAGAAGCTTGCTGCATTGGCTTCCCTGATGGGAACTCGGCCATCTTGATCCTTGGAGGAGCTCAGAACCTCACTGTTGCTGAGGATGGCTGTGGTACCTTTTGGGGGAGCTCTGCTTTTTCTGAGTATCACTTCCTGGCTCCAGTGCACATGCCTCAGCCTGCTAGCACAGATCCTTTATCTTACTGGCACACTTCCTAGATTCCACCACTGACCTTTGAGCTTTTGCAGTGCAGATCCATGAAACAGGCCTGCATGAGATATTGTTATGTGCTCTGGGCCTCCAGTTAGACTCATGGGAGGTACTGTTATGAGTTCTAGGTATTCAGCATAACTCATGAAGGACTTTTCCATGGAATCTAGGCTCTCAGATAGATTCTTGGTCTATGATGTGTGGACAGACTTCCCGCACACTCTTGTATATCATTCTTTTGGTGGCTACTATAAATAATATTATAAACTATCTGTCCTGTATTATATTGTTCCCCCTTGCAAAATAAGCCCCAAACCAACATTCCCTGTTTATGACACTTTGTGAGAAAAATGTGTTATGCTCCACTTAAAGACAAGAGTACTTGTTATCACATGTGGTCAGCTGACCCTAGGATTCATAAGATAATATGACACTTGAGATGTCAGTAAAAATTGCCTCCTCAGTATTCTATAGCCATGACGAGGAGGAGGCCAAGGAGA